GGCAGACCATCTAAGGGAAAACGAAAAAGACAACACAAGGAGAGAGGCTGGATAAGTCAGCATTCTTGTCTGGAGACCTGCTTTGAGTAGATTTCTTGCAGAGACTTTTTAAAGGTTGTGGGTTTTTTTCAGGGCTCAGCAGCTTGTATGTTCAAAGTGCTATCACTGTTGGGTTCTCCTAGCGGGCTCTGGATGGACAGCAGGAAGGTCCTGACAATCTTACAGGGTGGACCATTGTCCTTCAGGATGTAGCAAGGTGTGAGGAACTGCACTGTGGGTGCATTTTAAGGGTAGCCACTGGGGAACTCCAGGAAGAGCTTATAGCTCAAGTCTTCATATATGTGTCCGCTGCTCCATGGATGGCCTCTGCCCACTTAAAATGGCTATCTGATTCAGAGAAGATAGAAATTCCTTTATTGTCAGATATCATTAGGGTCATGAGCTCCTGCTGTAGCCTCTTGCCGATAGGAGTGGGCAGTGCCCTGGCTGGGTATGGCTCCACTGTGGGCAGCAAGCAGAGATGTTGGTGGGCGCTGGGTCACAGTTCTGAGAAGCCATCCAGGAGGTGTTTGCAAGGACATGGGAATTTGGGGGGCACCACCACAGGACTGAGGCCCACCTGTCTGCTTATAAGGCTTTCCTTCATCCTCAGCAGAATTAATCATGTTTGTGTCTAGACTTGTGGCATTTAGATGTAGTGAATATATCCAATACAATGTATTGAATGAATGAATGAATGAATGAATGAATGAATGAATTTTGTGTGGATCGTCTAAAAAGCCATGGGCTTCTGTGGGACAGGAACTGTTTTATTTCTCCCTGAATCCTCAGCACATATCACAAAGCATGGAGCAAAAGAGACAAAATCAATTCAGTAAATAACATAGGAAACTAGAAAGCATGAGGATCAACCTACAAACCTATTGCTTCAGATTATTTTTGCTCCTGGTTTCTATTTAATCACGTTCATCAGTGGGTTTATTTTCCACTTCAAATGGCACCCTTCAAATGTTATTTTTGAGCCTTCCATTCAGCATCTGTAAAAAGGGAAGAGTGAAACTTATTTGTTCTTTATGGGATGCTATGGGAAGCAAATAGAATGGTGTATGTATCAGTTTTCTAGGGCTGCTTTAACAAAGTCCCACAGCCTGGGGGTTTAAACAAGAGAAATTTATTTCCTCATAGTTCTGGAGACTAGAATTCTAAGATCAAGGTGTTAGCAGAGTTGATTTCTCCTAAGATATTTATCCTTGGCTTTTAAATGGCCATTACACCCATCTGTCTTCCCCTGGTCTTTTCTCCGTGCACATCTGTGTCCGAGTCTCCTCTTCCTATAAGGGCATGAGTCATATTGGGTTAGAGCTTATCCTTACAACCTCATTTGCCTAATTACTTCTTTAAAGGCTCTATCTCCAAGTACTGTCACATTTTGAAGTACTAGAGGTTAGGACTTCAACATATGAATTTTGTGGGAGCACAATTCAGCCCATAACAGTATATAAAAGGTCTAATATGATGGCAGGCATGTAGCTGTCATTTTACTCATGGAATTATTAGTACTATCACTTTTAGTCAAAAATTTCCAATGTATGACAAAATGGCTTTACTTCTTCTTGTGAAATTGCTCCTTTGGTCTCTTGCTCAGCTTGCTTGAAAAGAAAAATAATATATAGACAGGGCACAAGCATTTCCAGCATGAAGTTCAAAGCAAAGGGAGAAAGATGAAGAATTATCCTAAAGAAATGAGGCCTCTGAGCTCATTTACAGATTTAGCAAGAGCTTGTCATAACTGGAAAAAACAGATGACCGAGACAAAGAAGGTGATGCTATAAATGGTGGCCAATATTTTAATATGAAAAATGAAAGCCTGTGGAGGTGTATTTGACATTCAGGAGAAGTGGCAAGGAGTGAGGGCACCCAGCATGAAAGGTATTAAAGAGGAACATTTCCATGAAAACCTGGCAGTCAAATTTTGATGGGAAAAGAGTCATTAGCCACATGTCAACCTTATGATGAGCTTCAGAGCTATCTTTCATGCAGTCACCTTCCATTCAGTCCCTGTTGTCCTTTCTGTCTTCTCTCCATACCTCTGTGTTTCTTTTGCTTTCTTCTGCAAAAACAGACTGCATCGTTATTACACAGTAGGCATTGTCAGAGTACAATGGTGTATACAAAGGTAAATAAGATCCTCAAGGCAATTAATGTACAGATATATATGGGTAATTCTTACTGTTTGTGGTAGTTACATGAAGGCTTCACAAACACTGAATTAGTGAGTACTGAACTGTTGTTCCTAGGGGAAATGCATGCCACACACCCAAATACACACACAGGCACATTACATGTAGACTGTAACCTTAAATTCTTGAAATAATGTGTACTGGTAGATTCTATTTTCTTAAACTTTCAACAGAGGAAACAAGGTTCAGAAGTCTTATTTGCTTAAGGCTATCCTCCAAACAGATGCCATAGATAATTGGAATTCAACTCCCATCCATCCAGGGCTAGAACTTTATCTACTATACTGTACTTCTCCCTGCCATCTTCATCTTCTCATCATAAATAGAAATAAAAATAAATATAAATATTTATAGAGAGAAGGGGGAAAAGATGACCATATATATCCAAATATGTGAATGTGTATTTATATATTTCTTTATATGTAATTATATTACATATATATGGTATCATTTTGTATCTATCTACCTACCTATCTCTCTATCATAAATGAATAAACAGCAGTGTACAGGTTGATGAACAAAGTTAAGTACAGCTGAAAGGTCTAACAGATTTAGGGTTTTTATTGAAAATATTGTATATTCTACCCAGAAAAGTGGTTATATATACATCCATATATAATATCCCTTTCTTTTTATGAGCCAAGAGCTATGGTAAGCCTTTCATAAAAATTATTTTTATAATAATCTTATAAAAGAGCCATTATAATCTTCATTATAATACTCAAAAACTAGTTAGAGAAAGCTAGTTGTTAGAAACTGCACAGCTAGTAAATAGTTGAGTTGAGATTTGGACCCAGGTCTCTGACTCCAGTAGTTCAGACCAGTGTACCTCATGATAAGCGGATATAGCATATCACCTTCTCAGGTGAGATCTCTCCTCCTTACCTCTGTCTCAAACATCCTCATCTGGAAATAACAAGAAATGGAAATAACAATCAAGGAAACTAGAATTTGAAGAGGACAAAATGGATGTTGTAGTAGGAAGGCAAAAGGAGAGAATGAATGGTGAATAGGCATTCCGGTGTGATATAAATCTTAAGCTAGAGAGGGTTTATATCTTTTAGATATAAATTTTAAGCTAAAGAAGGTTTACAGAGAAGGTATTTCTGAGAGGAGTGTTTTGAAAGACAAAGGAAGATCAAGTCAGTTGGTCAGTAAAAGAAGAAGCTGGTTAGCGGGTAGAATAATTAGGGCAGGAAGGCAGGAAGTGAGACAGCCCTCTTGGAAGCTGAGCTATGGGGCAGTGGGTGTGGGAGAGCCGGTGCAGCTGACTGTTCTTGGCTCAGTAGGAGTCTGGGCTTGAGGTGACACCAAGAGAAATGTGGTCAGTATGGAGAAAGCAAGTGGATAGAAATGGATTTTGAATGTTAGAATACTAGGTTTGGATATTTTCTCAAGGCAGTAAGTTACATTATTATTTACATTTTAAAATGAAAAAACTAACTTCAAACAGCCAAAGGATTTAAATGGTTTGACTGAGAAATTCTTTTTTTAAAGGCTTATTTCTTTCTTTTGATAGAGAGGTGGGGGGGGGCAGGCAGAGAGAGAGAGATTGAGAGAATCCCATGCAGCCTCTGCACTGTCAGCATAGAGCCTGATGCCAGGCTTGATCTCAAGATACATGAGATCCTGACCTAAGCCAAAACCAAGAGCCAGCCACTTAACTGACTGAAACACCCAGGCACCCCAGGATTTCTTATTAAGAAATAATGGAAGAGGTGCAGTGTAGTTCCTAGAAATCTGACTCTAGATCTCAAATTCTACTATAGAATGTATTCAGTAATAATAATAATAATAATAATAATAACTTTAATAAAGGAAAAAAGATTATATACTATCTCAGTGAGGAACCCCAAAATAACCAAGTGTGTATCAGGATTTGTTGCTTGGAAATTATATCTATAGTTTACATAATTGCTCTGCAGTGCCCTTAATAGGGAAGTAATTAATAAAATAACATAAAGTAGACTAAACAAAAGCTTCAATTTTCATAAAGTTGGGGTTGAAACAATTTTAAAACTGAAAATACAATGTTAGCTTTCCTGGACTGTCCTTACTGTGATGTTGTCACATTTTGTGTTCATTTTCCCATTTTCTCAGTCACGGTGAAATTCTTTCAGTAGTACTTGAAGTACTAGTACTTATGTACTAGAAAAACATTCCCAGTCCTCAAAGAGCAGCATGCAAAAGCCAATACAAACAAACCTTGGGGACACATGGGATACAATACACATGTGTTGGACCAAGTAGGTAAGTTTTAATATGCCAATAGCATCATATCTGAAATTAGGAGGAAGAGAGTTCTACTCTCTCTGTAGGACTCTGTTGTAGTCCCGCCTGGATCATCCATCTGTATATTATCAGTGCATAACATTTAGAGCTCCGTGCTTAGCTGGGGGTGATCGACTGGCTGATCACTCCTAGAACTGTAACTGCTTGCTTAGAATGGGAATTCTTTGTGGTATAAATATTAGTTAAAAAGGACTGTGAATAGATCGAGGGGAATTAGCAAACAGTATTTCATCCAGAAGTGTATCCATTACTTCATTGTTTTCATTATTTAAATGGTGACCTTTTGACAGAAAAATAAGTCAGTATTTTGAGGACATGGATGGTTCACTGGTATATAGTGGATGCAAGCTGGGCTGTCTGTCAAGTAACTGAAGGGTTAGGCCCAAATTTCCTTGTATTTATATATTCATATATGCTTCTCCAGTGTCTATATACTTACCTTTATACAGTTAAAAGCAGCATGGATATTAAGAAAAATGACTGGGTTTGATTTTGACTTGCTGATTGCTGGTTGTGCAACATGAGGCCTCAAATTTCTGAGCCTGTTTCCTCAGCTTTAAAGTTGAGGCAACAATGCCTGCTTTAATCTGTAAAGATTATATAGGAATATGTCTCACTAAACTTATGACTGGTTGTACTTGTTTTTGAATTACCCTAGTTTAAAAAAAAAGTGCTATTATCACAAAATGCAACATTTTATATAGTCAGATTTAAGAATCTAATGCCTGAAATTAGAAACATAGACTTGAAGTGTATCATACCCACGTAATTCAGCATACTGAAATTTTGGATCAGATTTAAGTGTATGTGCACTAGATTTTTTTTTTTAATTTGATAGATTTTTATTTTTAGAGCATTTCTGGGCTTACAGAAAATTGAGCAGGAAGTGCATCAGTTTCTCACAATTTTCTCTATTACTAAAATTTCACATAGAGTAGTACAGTTGTTACAATTGATGAACCAATATGGATACATTGTTATTAACTAAAATCAATAGTTTATACTAGGGGTTTTCTATCTTTGTAATGTGGAGAGACTGACTCTGGCTATTGTGGGTCTCTAAAAGTCAGGGTGAACCTGAGTTTGCGTGTAACTCTCTGACTCACCTTACTGCCAAATCAAATGGTGCCGAGGGATATGATGCAGACTCAAATTCTCAGCCCAGCAGTAAGTATGGTATTTGCAGAAATAAAAGTAATGAGAAAGAATAATCCCCTCTCCTGAAATATTTACATGTCTTAATGATTCATTTAATTAATACTAACCCAGCACTTACTATAGGCCTGGCATCTTGCTTTTCATGGAAAAGATAGGAACTGAAGACCAATCGGTTAATTACCTAGGGGAGATTAAAAAAAAAATGGTTGCACACACAGATCAACAGATAAACGTAGCATTACAAAGCATTGAAACTGGCAAAGCCAGGGGTGTGCCTAGGGTAGTAGTAGCATTGGAAAATAGGGTAGCTGAATGCCACTGGGGGAAAGGAGGAGTCATTTTCTTCTTCTTGTACTTCCTCCTCCTCCTTCCTTTTCCCGTCCCTTCCCCTCTCTCCCTCCTTTTTCCCCTTTCTCTTCTCTTCTCCCTCCTCCTCCTCTTTCTTCTTGTTCTGTTCTCTGTGGGTCTTCTCAAGCCCCAGTGATGTAGTTTCCAGGCCTGGGTAACCTTTGATGCTCCCTAAATCTATAGTAAACACAATTCTTTTTTGATTTTTTCTCTGCTTATGTCACATTCCTTTTCCTGAACCCTACTTGGCTTGAAGGTTTAGTTCCCTGTTTCTGAATCACTTTTGTCTCTTAGCCCAAAGTAAAATATCTTTTAAGGATGGCCATGTGTCCCACACATTGTATCTTCAGTGCCCAGCAGAGGGCTCTGTCCTTAATAAGTGCTCAATCAATAAATAGGGGAAGAATGTTATGTTAAAATATGCCACTGAATTTATAGCTATGCCCATAGAAGTTAACTGAATTAAGTAATTCTATTTCATTCCAAGCAGAAAAATATTTGAAATAAAGTAGAACCCTATTATCATCATAAAGACATCTGCAAAACTCAGACATTTAAGCTTTTTGGAAACAGTTTAAGGTAGGAGATGGAAGTTTTGTTTTGTAGAAGGGAGAAGAGTCTATACATGTAGATATACTGCATTCTAATACTACTCCCTGAAACATAATGCCTACATCAGGTAAAAGCTATTGACAAATGGTCCTAATGAATAATAGGAAAACCACCATTCCGGGTAGTGAGAGAACTGGGCTATGGCTGTAGGGACGCCATCAAACAGCTGTGTAATCCTAAACAGGTTACTAACCTCTGGATGTGAGTTCTCTCCTCAGTACGACTAAGGATTCACTCAGTGGCCTCTATAGTATTTTCAACTTTAAATGAAAAAAAAAATCATGATTTGAGTATTGCCTTCCTAAAGGCTTTCCAATGTATATAAATAACTAATAAATTAATTTCTTCAGATTCTTGAAAATTGAATCAATCATTTAATTAATACTTTGTATTGCTCAACAATTGTGAACATTTTAAGCAAAAAGATTCTGAGGACTTTAATGCATTTACTGCTCTCGTCTAATGCTAGGGAATATTTGGTCCCCCTCTTATACCTGTTGCTGTGCTTGCACCTGGATTGCAGCATGAGCATCTGATGCAAAGAGATATCATTCTATTGCCTGGGGCCAGCCAACTATGAGAGTGATATTGGATCAGGCTCTTTCCCTATTCAGAATCCTTTCATGACTCTTATAATATTTTTATAAGCAATGTACTGCATAGTGAGATCTTCCTCCATATGAAAATAAGCTGATTTGTCCTTATTCAAATAATTTGGGGAAATGCTGTATATCTTTCTTGAGAGTCACATGTGCACTAACTTATGAGAGACTTTGAAAAGTCCTGCAATTCAGACCCGTATTATTCCCCAATATTTTCCCTTGTCTACCTCTTCCTTACCATCAGAACTCTGGCAGTGTGTCTTCAAAAAATACTCATCTTCTGCTACTTCCTTTTACCTAGGAGTTGGCTGGCTAAATAAGCCAGTCCTGGCCGATGAAATGTAAGCATAATTTAGGGGTAGAGCTTCTGGTCAGAATATTCTTGAAAGAAAGACTTCCCCTGCTGGCTTCCTCAATTTTCTTTCTTTTTCCTATCTTGGGCACAGACGTGACACATAAACAGCTGTCTTGTGACCATAAGCATGCAGTTGAATCGTTGGGATGATAGAACAGAAAGACAGAAGAATCCTGGGTTCTTGCACAGACCCCAAAAATACGTCACTTATGTGAGCCAGTACTTGTTAGGCAGTCTTATTATTTGTGACAAAATAATTCCTAAAGGTTACAACAGGAATTTATTTCTTTTAAACTCCTAATAAGATTTCCTGGAAACACTTTTCAGTGATGCTGCCTATATCATGTTGCCTTTTCCATCACTGCTGTAACAAATTAATAAAAAAATTAGAGGCTTAAAATAACACTCATTTATTATTTGGAGGAAAGAAATCTGTCATAGGTCTTAGAGGCTAATATCAGGGCATCAGCAGGGCTGCATTAGATTCTGGAAGCTCCAGGGGAGAGTTTCTAGATCTTAGAGGCCACTTGCCTTTGGTGGCTCATGCTTCCTTCCTCACTCTTCAGACCCAGCAATCCTGAGTCCCTCTCATGCTTCTCTTCCCATATATCCACCTCTCTGAACCCAGCTGGGGAAGGTTCTCAGCTTTTTAAGGACGTAAGTGATTAGATTAGGACCCCCTGGATATTCCAGGATAATCTCCTCATCTCAAAATCGGTAAATTTAATCACATCTTCAAAATCCCTTTTGCCATGTGAGGTGGTATTCAGTGTTTCTAGGGATTTGGATGTGGAAATCCTGAGAAGTCATTAATCCTCCCTACCATACCACTCTAAAGAATAAAACTCCTCCTCCTTAGCACCAGTCTTTTCTGATCTGACTTTAACGTGACTGTTGTGGTCACTCTTTTCTCCCTACTATTCATTTCTCTTTTCTGTTTTTCTGTAATATAGATCAGTATACCATGATGTGGACAACTTTACTTTTATGGGTAGGTCACAAACCCATCCCCTTGTCAGGTCTTGGGGCAAGCATCCAAATGGAAGTCCACCTACCTAAATAGTTAAGAAATACATCTGTCTAAATAGTTAAAAACTGCAAATTGATCGTCACACTGTCAAGTAGATCTTCTTTCTTTGACAAAAATAGTTTGATAATGGTTTTGAAGTCTCCGTTCAGATTTAGAATTCTCTTCTTGCTTCAGAATTCTGCCTTAGAACGTGGTGGCACAAAGAAAATTCTCTTATCCCTGGTCCATGTTCTGAACACTCCACATCCGAGCAGACGAGCCCACTAATTCAGGCTCTAACCAAACTCCTCACAAACAAACAAACAAACAAACAAAAAACAAAACAACCGTTAGCCATCATTCAGTAATATGCTTATAACAATGGTGGTTTGGTCAGCACCTAAGACAGTGAAGGTGGAATAAAAGACTGTAAAGTTCTTGAGAACCCCAGTGATCTGTATATCCAGAGCATGGTCTAAAACGTGAGGTGGGGGTACCTAGGTGGCTCAGTCATGAACTTGCGTTTTGCAAATTTGAGCCCCACGTTGGCTCAGTGCTGACAGCCCAGAGCCTGGAGCCTGCTTCGAATTCTGTGTCTTCCTCTCCTTCTGCCCTTTCTCTGCTCACATTCTGTCTCTCTCTTTCTCAAAGATAAAGATAAAAAAAAAAAAAACTTTTTAAAAATAAAAAAAATAAAATGTGAGGTGTAAGCTTTGAGTGGGGAGTAGTGTGATCTGAGGAAGGATTGGTTGGGCCCCCTAAAGTTCAGGATTTAGGACACAAGCTTCTCTTTCCCACATGCAAATGAAATACTGCTTATTTATTTAGTACAAAATACTCCTCCTTTTTATATTCGTATTATCTGATTTATTTCTTAAGATCCACCTAATTTCTTAACCACTTTATGAGAGCTTTTGTGACTTTGCTTCCTCATCCTAATTTTACTTCCTCATCCACTTTACTTTTCAGAACTTCAAAAATAAAACCGTCTGTTTTTAATAATCATAGCACAAAAATAGCATATATATGGCATATCGTATTTGTAATATATATGAATGTATAATGTAATGATACATATGTACAATAATTATATGGGTAATTATATATAATAAAACCCTAATATTTATTGAGAGTATTTCATGTGTCATGCACTCTGCTATCCAAGCTATAAATATTATGCAATTTATAGCTAGAATCATATTATTGCATTTTTAGTTATTTCTGTGAGTTTCTCGAGCACAGGGACTGTGTTCCACTCCTCTCTGTATCTCTAGTAGCTAGGAAGTACTTAGCACCATGAATAGTACTCTCAATGACTGTAGGTATTTCTAACTTGTGACCATTTTAAATACAGTGTGGAAGATCCTCGAATTTGAACTACATGAAAAAATGAAGGGTTTTGACAGGCTACAAAGCACTGAGAAGGTTAGGAACATGGTTACTTTTTCCAATTAGCAGGTTGACATGTTATTTTGCAAAATAAATGTTGTCATGTTGGAGGACCGAGTTTGTAGAGAGTTAAAATGCAATAGAACAGCCTCTTATAAGAGATTTCAAGAGTTGTCTTTTAAAATGTTGGTAATAATAATTTGTCCCTGTTCTACTGTGCCTGAGTATACTTAGCATTCACTTTACTTATGAGAAAATGTTACATACTTTCTCACTTGAGCTAAACAAAATTCTTACAAATTTCATGTTCTAATGAGTTGATAAAGCATTGGCAATGAGTTATAGCCTTCTTCCTAGTGAATTTATAAAAGGAACTTTTGGAGATAAAAATCAACATTATTTATGTGCATCATTAATATGAATAATGCATCAGTTTAGTTTAAGCTCAATAAATCAACTCAAACATTCACAAATGAAAAAAAATTGTAAAATATTAAGAAAGAATCATTTCCCCAGAGATTTGTATCAAGTGTGTTTATCTAGATTCCTTTTATATACCTATACATACATATACATAAGTGAAGAAAACAGTGAATGCTCTTCATTGGTATGAATGTTATTTAGAAAAGAATGTTTTTTGTTCTATACAGTAAGATGTCAATGGAAAACTTTTGGGGTAAATGAATCCTGAGAAGTTGAAACAAACTGAATGGATTAAAGAGATATTTATGTACAAGGAGACTATAAAAGAAATGAGCTTAAATACAGCATATCTTTAAAACATCTGTGACAACAGAAATGATAGATAAGTGAAATTATTATCTAAAAAAATATCAAATATCCTTTACCCTGGTTGCAAGGGAAAAAGGACCTCAAATTTTCACATAAATGTTACCTATGGTTGAGAGATAGGCTCACCATCCCATAGTCACCTTCATGTTCCAGTGGAATGTGAATTGTCTCTCAAATCAGACAGACTTGGTTCAATTTTCAGTTTCACCAGTTACTAGCTCTACATTTGACAAGTCACTTATCGTCGTTGATTTACCTATCTATCTGTCTATCAAATGACTGTAATACTCAACTCTCAGGATTATGGTAAGGATTTCATGAGATAATCCATATAAAAGGATGGAGCCATTCCCAGGTACAAAGTAAATGACGGTGAAATACTTACTATATTTTTTATCCCACTCATATAGAGTATTCTGCAATGAACTAAATGATAAATTATAGATAAAGCATGCCAAATATTAAGTTTGTGAGTCAATATATAGGCTTAGGTTCTATATTAGACATGAAGGAATGACCTGGCCTCTTTGTTTGTGGTGCACACAACATTGTTGAGTACAAAAAGAAAAAGACCACATTTGAAGAAAGTTATTATAACACCATCTCCTCGATGACTTACCCACATACACAATCTCATCAGCCAAAAGCATTTTTTTCTTTTTCTTTTTCAACTAACATATTGGGCACTTACTATGAGCTAGTCACAGTGCTAGGTGTTGGGGGTTTAACAGTGTTCAAGAGAATAGTAATTGCTAATTACCCAGAGTTTGCAGTCAGTAGAGAGAGAGGCAGTTTCAGTTTACAGGATATTTCAACCAAATATGATCATGATGGTAGACAACTAGGAAAGTGAGAAGAGGGTTCTGAGAAGCAGTGGTGTCTGAGATGAATCAGCCAGGTGAAGGGATGGAAGATGCTGAGCCTCAAAACAGAGCAGTCGAGCCCTGTGCTACACTGTCCAGGAAAGAGTGAGAGGGGCGCCTGGGTGGCTCAGTCGATTAAGTGTCTGACTTCGGCTCAGGTCATGATCTCACCGTTGTGGGTTTGAGCCCCGCATCGGGCTCTGTGCTGACAGCTAGCTCAGAGCCTGGAGCCGGTTGCAGATTCTGTGTCTCCCTCTCTCTCTGACCCTCCCCTGTTCATACTGTGTGTCTCTCTCTCTCAGAAATTAAACAAACAAACAAACATTAAAAAATTAAAAAAAAAAAAAAAGAATGAGAAAAGTCTGAAAGTGAGGTTTTGCCCAGCAGAGTTGAGTTAAAAAAAGAGAAAACTCTAATAAATCTAGGTAGAATATATAATAAAGAGATCAAGAGTTTAGATTGTTTAGAGTTCAGACTTTATACCTAAGCAATGGGGAAATTCTCTCAACATTTTTGTAGTTCTTCATTAATAGTGTATTTCTTACCTTATATTTTGTATAGTAGTTATTTGTCGACAAGCCTTACTTGCCTATGTCATAACGCTCCTTCAAATTAGGATCCATATCTGATTCACTGGTACATTCATTTGGCATAGTGCAACACTTATTATAACATTTCTCAATTTACACTTGACCTTCACAGATGTTAGCTCATTAAATCCTCATAATAACCTTTTGGGAGTTGGCTTACTCATTGCTCCCTCTCTGAAAATAAAATAATTGAGTTACAGAAAGATTAAATAACTAGTAAGTGAAAAATCCAGGACATGAACACAGGAATAATGTCTAATAGAACTGTTGGGAGTGATAGAAATGTTCTATATCTGCACGATCCAGTAATTTAG